CGGTGCGGGGCTCGGTGCGGGGCTGGGACCGGCTCGGTGCGGGGCTGGGACCGGCTCGGTGCGGGCTGGGACCGGCTCGGTGCGGAGCTGGGACCGGCTCGGTGCGGAGCTGGGACCGGCTCGGTGCGGGGCTCGGTGCGGGGCTGGGACCGGCCCGACCGCAGCGCCCGGCGCTGCCTCCCCGCCCTCACACAGCCCGTGCGGGGAGCCCGCAGCGCCTCCGCCAGAGCATGCTTTGGTAGCCACGATGATGCTTTTGGTGGCCACTGGACACCAGCAGAGGCCAGGCTGGAGGGAGCAGGGCAGGGCCGGAGCCTCTGGCTGCCGTGCAGCCGCACTCCGGGCTGGGGCTGCACGGAGCAAAGCTGCCCAATCCAGCCCGGCAGCTCCCAGCCTGCTCCCGAGCAGGGATCCCACAGCCATCCACGTAAGGACAGACCCCGGCTCACAGCCCCCAGGGCACCCCACAGCATCCCACAGCACCCCAGAGCATCCTACAGCCCAGGACAGCCCCCCACAGCCCCCAGAGCATCCTACAGCCACCCACAGCCCCCCACAGCATCCCACAGCCCCCAGAGCATCCTACAGCACCCCACAGCATCCTACAGACCAGGACAGCCCCCCACAGCATCCCACAGCCCCCAGAGCATCCTACAGCCACCCACAGCCCCCCGAAGCACCCCACAGCACCCCACAGGATCCCACCACACCCCACAGCCCAGCCCAGCACCCATCCCAGCTGCTCTGCAGGAGCCACATCTCGTGGTGCCACCAGCCAGGACGCCAGGTCCCAGGGGTGGGCCCTGGGGGTCTGACACCCCAGAGCCCAAGGGTCCCTGTCCCCAGGGCAGCACTCCAGTGCCCGCAGTGGCTCGGCCCAGGGCTTGGCTCTGCTGTGCTGGGTGATTTGCCCACGTGCCAGCTCTGCCATGTGCCACGAGGCAAGGACATGTGCTGACAAGGCCCTGGGTGCCGCTCTTCCCACAGCTCCCCGAGCAGTCCCAGCCCCAGCCAGAGATTATCAGCTCTGTCTGTGGGCCATCACTGCCCTCGTCACTCTGCCCGGGGAGGGGAGGCCAGGGTGGCGCTTCAGATCAGCACAACACGGCATCAAACTGCTCTGCCAGGGGAGCTGGTCCCAGCCTTGGCAGTGCCAGGTGCTGCACAAACAGAGCAGGGGCAGAAAAGCTCGCAGCACCCACAGATCTCAGCATGGGAGGGCTGCTACTGTCCTCAGCTGTAATCTTAGCAAATCAACCAATCAATCAATCAATCTCTGTGCTTAAACAGCTTGGCATGACCAGCCCAGCTTCCCCTGCAGCCAGGAAGGCTTATGGATGCTTCTGCAAGCCAGGGAGCTTTGCTTGCGTGGCTGGGCGGCAGGAGAAGCTGTGAGGGAGATGGGGCAGCCGGGCCGTACCAGGGCTCTGCATCTTCAGGTCCCTTTTGCTGGCCCAGCCCAGCTCCTGCCCAAGAGGGACAAGTGGCACTGGGTGCCCGCAGGTTCAGCAGGAGGAGTGGTCCTGGGGCCATCCCGGCGCCTGAGGAGTTTCTGCTGCTGGGTGCAGCCGTGCCGGGGACACACACCGCCCCTGTCTGATGGAGAAAATCCCATAATTACCCTCAGCTGTCAAGGAGCAGCATCAGCTTAGGCGGTAAGAGGGAGAAGAGCTGGAGAAGCTTCTCCAGGGCTGCTGGATCTGAGGGGGGCGGCGAGGAAGGGGCAGGGCAGGATGGGCTGAGGAGGGTACCAGGCTCCCTGCAGTGCATGGGGAAGGGGTTCCCGTCTCCCTCTGCTCCAGGGGGTGGGAGTGCTTCCCAGCACTCTCTGCCTGGAGTCTCAGGCAGCTTGCATTGCTCTGAGGATGTGGGGCAGGCAGGACCTGCTCCCACCAGCTGCGTGCTGAGAGCCCCGTGCTGTCACAGCCAGGGACAGAGGGACTTCAGTGCTTCTTTCCTCTGAATTTCTCCCGACTTGCCTGGTTCTAAGAAGATTAAAGACAGATGGTCTCTGAGGCTCCCTCACTGGCACCCATGCCTGAAGCTGTGGGGGGAAGGCACAACAGAAAAGAACCCTGGGGAAGGGGGGTATTCCCAGCCGAGTGCCCGAGGGACGGAGCATCCTGGGAACCTGCTCTGGGCGCTCCCTCCCTGCCTGTGCTGGCTGCAGCTCTGCAGAGCAGGGCTGTGTCCTTCTCTGGGGCTGCCTCATTCGTGGTGAGCTCCAGTGGTGAGGCGAGCCCAGCCATGCTCCCAAACCAGCTGCTCTGGGTAGCACTGCCCAGTGCCCAGCCCCTCCATCAGCTACACAGAAACTGCTCCGTTGGGCTGTGTTAAACTGCTGTGCAAGCACGCTGTGTGCTCCTGCAATGCCTCCTTCCTGAGGATTCTGCTCACAACCTCCTCTGGCTCGTGCTGGCAGCACCAGAAAAAGGAATTCACCTAAGGCAGCCCCATGTGCCCCATGGCAGCAGCAGCAGCAGCAGCGATGCTCTTGTGAAGCCATTTGAATTTCCACATGATGACCCAGTTCAGGGTGGTTTCGCCGCTGGATTTTCCCACTGCTGCTGCCTCTGGGTGGGTGGTGGCAGCTCCAGACCTCGCTGCTGTGCTGGATTTAAGGCCACCACACTGACAGCCCCAGCCTCGAGTGCTCAGGCTCTTCATGGTGCTTTCCTAAGCATTACAAAATGCTGGGCATTTGGTGTGTGGGCACCCGTGTGTGCTTTGTGGCACTGGATATTTTACTGAAAGCTTTAAAGGGTGAACAGTTTTCCAAAGGGTTTTTTGCTGCTGCCTGTTACACTGGGGGCAGGGCACGTGTCACTTCAACTGCTGCAGTGAAGGTGGTGGGGATGCTCCAGGGGCTTTTCGTGCATGTGTTGGAGTAAATTCCAGCCCAGCTGCCAGGCTTGACTCTTCCCTCACCATTTTGAACCAGCAGTCACTGAGCTTCCCCACAGCAGCACCGGGGCTGAGCTGCAAGGCAGAGGGGCAGCCTGTATTTAGAAGGAGACAATAATTGCAAGTCAGATTTGCTTGTTCAATACTCTATTGACAGATTTGCCTTGGCAACCTGGAACAGGGTTTCATTGTTCACATCGTACTTCATGGCATCCTATTGATTGGGTGGGTGGGTTTAGGTTTTTGTGGATTTGCTGGTTTTGTTGTCTCTTTTTCCAAGCCTACCTACTCATCCTTTTCTTGTCTTTCTCCAGCACAGTGTTGACCTCAGCAAGGGCTGTGTCATAATCCGTTTTTCAGACTGGCCACAACTTCCAATGCAAGCCAGAGCTGACAAAAGCAGAAGGGCAAATCCTGGAGCCCAGCTGGCCAAGGCTGCGGGCGGCCAGGTAGGGATGAATGGGGCCAGTGCCCTCCCCCCTGCTCCAAGGACATGGCAAAGTTAGTGCCTGGCCTGCTGTGAGAGTGGCCTTGAAGGAAACGCTGTAACTATTCATGAATTAACTTTCTGTTATTATTTGGTGCTCAGCCTGGAGTGCTCCTGGCTTTGCAGACTGAGGGGGAACTGCCAGCCTTGCTGGGGCAGAGGGGAGGAAAAGGTGAGCGCCCAAACTGCAGCCTTGGAGTCGCCTTGATGGAGCTGGAGGATTACAGCTGGAAAAGAATTGCTGGTTTGAATTGCTAATAATGATGCAGACTAATGAGTAACATCAGAGATGATGGCATGTGCAATCAGTGCTGCTTGATGGCAAACACAGAGTGGGGCTGCAGGAGCTGCTGGGGCGAGGGAAAGAGAAACATCTTTTGGAGGGGCAGCACCCCCCCAAGCAAGGCACTGCCACAGAGCTGGCTCTAGCTCCAGGGTAAGAACTTTATAAATAATGATGAAGAGAACAAACACAGACATCAGCTCTGGGCAAACGGGGGGAACATGGCCAGCAAGTATTGGAGAGGAAATTACCTTGGTGTGGTTCCCATCACCTGCGGGAAGCCCATCCGTCCCGGCTGCTCGAGGTTTTGTCTTACAGCTGCACCCAGCAGCCCCACCTCGGGATCAGGCACACGGGGGCTGGAGCCCCCACCCCTCCACTGGGACAGAGTCCTCCTGCTGAGAGCAGCAGCACCTTCTGCTGATGCTCTGCAGAGAAAGAGGAAGCTGAGCTCTTGGCCAGGTGTGTGGGGCAGGAGAGGAATGTGTGTCTGTGCCTCGTACCTGCCTGATCCACCAGCAAGCCAGCAAGGAAGTGCCCGGGGCCAACCCACTCCTCTGCCGGCTTTAAAGGCAGCACTTGGCTCCCGTTCCTTTTGGTTGGAAACCCTTTTCCTTGTCTCATCCCCGTGATATGCACCAGCCAGTCCGCAAGAGGCAACAGTTGGAAATGCTTCCCACTTTCCTTATTTAGGCTGTTTTCTGTGGTTCAAATAAGGTGTCCTCTTTGGGCCTGGCAAAGAGAAAGATGTATCAGTTCATGAACTGCTGCTGCCTGAGCAAGGTAAGAGACAGAAAATCACCACCATTACCATCATTATTGTGAATCACGTGCAATCAGCCCCGAAACAGAAAGCAGATGAAGATCCTACTGGAACCCGAAGGATGGGAGCTGCTGCTGAGCCATGGGAGCCAGGGGCCAGGCAGCGATTAAAATGCTTTTAATACTGCTTTTCAGTGTTGTTTCACTTTTATATATATATATATACATATATATATATATATATATATATATATGTATATGTATATATATAATGTAATATATTTAATCAACAGTCTCTTGTATTGCTCCTGAGACAGGTTCTAAAAGATGCCAAGGATATCTGGTCACACATTTAATTTTTTTTTTTAATTTATACTTTATATATATGCAGCCAGCCAAACTCTGCACTCCTCATCACCTATTCCCGACTGAGTCCTGGGCAGAGCAGAGCTTCCCCAGCCGGGCGGGATCCGGAGCTGGACGTGCTCTGCAGCTTACCCAGGCTGGGGAGGAATCGCACCAAACCCTGCTCGTCCCTGGGCATTTAATTTTATTGCGAGCATTAGCGGTTTGTCTCCTCTGGCAACAGGAGAAGCTGGAAATGTCAAAGGGGAGGGTTAACAAACTCCGCTGGCATAAATTTCAATGAATGTATGTTTCTTAGGAAAACCGCTAAGTTAAAAAAAAAAAAAAATTAAATCTTCCTGTGTGTGTTTTCCTTGGGCTGCTGTTCACAATGGATAATAATTCTTACATTAAGCCCCTTCGGCCCTCCAGGGAAATCAAAATTGTAATATCAGTTTGCTTTTTATTGGCTCGGCTCTGCGATCGCGGCGGCTGCGTCTTTGTTAGGGGCTGCGGCGCGGTGACATTCAGCGGTGCCTCCCGGTGCGTCCCCCGTGCGGTGCCTCCGCACCTCCGGGCCCGGGCAGGGCTCCCGAGGGCGCGGACTGCTGCTGGCCGGGGCCGCGGCCACCGGGAGAGCCCGCGGGCCGGGGTGGCACCGAGCCGGGACAACGAGGAACGTCCTGGGCGAGCGGGGCGCTGCCCGACCCCGGCAAAGGAGCCGCTCCGGGCCCCGGCGCCGCTCGAGCTCAGCCCCGCCGCTCCCGGCGAAAGCTGCCGGGAGCCCCACGGGGGGCCCGGCCCCGCGGGGATCGATCGCCCCGTCCGAGGGCCGGCGGGGACGCCACGGCCCGGCAGAGCCCGGGGGGAAAAGGGGGACGGTGGCGCCGAGACCCCACGCCAGCCCCAGGGACGGCCCCGTTGTCAGCGGGCGCGGAGGCTCCGGCTCCTCCGGGGCGTCGGCCCGGGGACACAGCCGGGCACTTGGGACGGCCGAGCCCCCGGGAGGGGACGAGGGCTCCAGCCGCCCCGAGTATCACCCCACGCGTGCCCGCGGCCCCGCCGTCCTGCCCCGGGGCTGCGGTGCACGGGGCGCTCCCGTAGCGGCGGCGGGAGGCCCGGAGCTGCCGGCCCGCACGGCGGGGGCTGCACGGGGCTCAGTCCGGGACGGTGTCCGGCCCCGCTCCACCTGTCCGGGGGAAGGTGCCTACCGCCCCGGCACCGCCACGTTTCCCGGAGCAGCGCGCGGTGGCCCCGCTGGCAGCCGCGGCCACGCGTGTGCTCCCCGCGAGCCGCCCCACGAGGACGGAGTGCGCGGAGCCGCCCGCACCGGGCTCCCCGAGCGGCCCCGCCGCCGTGCGCGGCTTCCGGCACCGGGCGGGGAAAGCGCCGCCACCTGCCCCGGGCCCGGGCCCGCTGCAGCCACCGCTGGCCGTCCCCGGGCCGGGCGCCCCGCGGCCGCAGGGACCCGCCGGGCAGCGGGGCCAGAGCTTTCCCGGCAGGGTCGGGCCCCACGGCCGGTGGCTCGGGCCGTGCCGGGGGTGGGCGCCGCCGCCGCCGCCCGGGGCACAGCGCGACGTGGCGCAGCGTGGAGCCCTCCGAGCGCTCGTCCGCCCGCGCATCCTCCGGCCGGACCCTCCGCCCGACTGCTCTCCCCCGGGACGCGGGTCGCGCACCTGCCCCGCGGGCTGTGCCGCCCCCCGCCGGCCCCGTGGGGCCGTGCTGAGTCACGCGTGGGGCGGGAGCCGGGCTGCCCGCGCCCCCCTTCCCCGCGCCGCCGTGCCCGGCCCCCGCCCGCCCCCTCCCCGCCTCGCTCCCCGGCAGGGCTGCGCCAATCCCCCGGCCCCGCCGCTGACGGGCAGCCGGGCCCGGGAGGCGCCGCCTCCCTGACGTCTCGCTCCGGGATTTGCACGGTTGCGGTGCCGCCGCTCAGTGTCTGTCGGGCCGGCGGCGGGAGCTGCCGGAGCCCGAGCCCAGCTCGGCTGCAGCGCGGCCCGGCCCGGCCCCTCCCGGCTGCGGGATGGAGCTGCCGGCGGTGGGCGAGCACGTCTTCGCGGTGGAGAGCATCGAGAAGAAGCGGATCCGAAAGGTGCGGGGGGCGGCGGCGGGGGGCGGCGGGGCCCGGGGGCGCCGGGGGTGGCGGTTCCCGCTGACGCCGTGTCTTTGCCTCCCGCGCCGCTCAGGGTAGAGTCGAGTACCTGGTGAAATGGAGGGGATGGTCGCCCAAGTGAGTACCGGCACCGGGCGGCGATGGGGCCGGGGATGGGGCTCTGGGAAGGGCCCCGGCCGGGGCGGCGAGAGGCGGCGGCGGGGCCCGGCGGTGACGGCGGCGGGAGCCGAGCAGGCGGCGGCTGATGTGCACCAGAAAATGGCTCCTTCCCCCTTTCCCTCCTCGGGAGTCGGGCTCCATATTGCAGAACCGAGCGGGGAGGGGGGGGCAGGAAGGGGGGAGAAAGGGGGAATAACCGCAAAAATCGTCCGCGTCGCCCCGCAGCCCCGAGAGTCGCTGCCGAGGCGGGGGCAGCACCGGCACCGGAGCGAGCGCGGCCGCTGCGGAGCGTTCGGGGTTTGCATGACAGTGCGGGCGGGGGGGCGCGGGGGGGTCCGGGACGCGGCGGCCGGGTCCCTCCTCCGCCCCGCGGCCGCTTTCCTGGGTCCGGGAAAGGGGATTTGGAAAATTTCATCATGACATGCCTGGAATTCCTCCGGAATAATAACTGCGCTAAATAAACAGTACCGTTCCCGCGGCCCCCACCGCCCATCCCCCTCCCCGGGACCCCAGCCCCACACCCTGCTCCCCTCGGGCCCGGTGCTGCGGGGTGGCTCTGCCCGGGACCCCGGCCCCGCCGGCAGGGCCCCGCGGTGACGGCCGCTCTCCTCCCCTCTCCAAGATATAACACGTGGGAGCCGGAGGAGAACATCCTGGACCCCCGGCTGCTCATCGCCTTCCAGAACAGGTGAGCGGCGAAGGTTGGGGGATGCGGGAGGGGCGGCGGGACCCCCGCTCCGCGCCGCTCCCGCAATTGCAGATGCGTCACGGAGCCGGGGGCCGCGGCGGGGGCGGGCGCGGGCCGGCCCCGGGCCGGGCCGGGGGGCGCGGCCCCGGCGGGGCGGGCAGTGCGGGGCCACCGGGCGACGCCTCCGGGTCAAGGTCCCCCACGCCGCGCTCCCCCCGGCCGTGCCCCCCCCACGCCGCGCCTCGCGCTCCTTCTTCCCGGGATTCGACGCCGCGAGTCGAGGAGGCGGCGCTGCTGCTGCTGCTGCTGCGCTTGGACGGGCTTCGGCTTTTTTTTTTTTTTTTCTTTTTTTGTTTTTTTTTTTTTTTTTTAAGCCTTTTTTTTTTTTTTTTTTTTTCTTTCCGCGCGTTTATTTCCTGGAGTGTTTTGGCGCAAACTGTGAACTTCAGCCCCTCCCCACAGCGGGGAGGCAACAGCGGGGAAGGCGCCTGCTGCTTCCACAGGATGCCCCGGCCCGCTGCCACCTGCGGGCCCCGGTCCCCTCCCGCTGCCCCCTCCCTTCGCCCGCGTAGGGTCGCTGCTGCCGCCGGAGCCGGCGTGCGGGGCGGGTGGCGCCGGGGGTCCGTGTACCGCTCTCGGGCTCACCGTGACGCTGTGTTCCCGCAGGGAGCGGCAGGAGCAGCTGATGGGATACCGCAAGCGGGGGCCCAAGCCGAAGCCGCTGGTCGTGCAGGTAAGGCGCGGGCGCCCGGGCCCGCACCCCCGCGCTCTTTGCCGCGGGCCGTCCCCGGGGAGCCGCTTGCATCGGGTTTCATCATGCTGAGGAGCCTGCGCAGCCCGGGCACCTCGCAACGCCCTGGGGACCCCCGGCACTGAGCTCAGCGGGTGCCCCAGCCCCCCTTCCCTCCCCTCTGGAGCGTGCCGCAGACCCGCCGTGCCCGTGCCCGGCTGGCATTAGCAGGCTGCTCGCGGGCTCAGCAGCGGCGGTCCCGCTCGGCCCCGGTTCCCAGACAGCTGATTGAAGGGGGCTTTTCTTCTTTTCATTGCTTCATTAATCTGGAGCAATGCACAGCCTCTAAGTTGGAGTGGGCTGGGGCCGCCTGCCTGAGGACGCGGTGCCCCAGGATGCAGCATCCTGTAAGGAGAGCTGCCGGAGGGGCGGGGGTTCCGCCGGAGCCTTCGGCACCTGCCGGAGCTCTGGCACCTGGCGCCTGGTTCTCCTGCCCTGTCTGACCGCAGCTCTTGTTTTTGTGTTGCAGCTTCCGTCCTTCGCCCGCCGCTCGAACATCCTCACGGGTCTGCAGGACCCGGCCGTGGACACCAGGCCCAAGCTGGACCTCGGCTCCTCTGGCAAGAGCCAGCAGCACCAGTATGAACTCAACAGCAAGAAGCACCACCAGTACCAGCCCAATGGCAAGGAGAGCAGCATGAAGCACCAGTCCCACAGCAAAGGGAAGTATTACTACCAGCTGAACAGCAAGAAGCACCACCACTACCAGCCTGACCCCAAGATGTACGAGCCCCATTACCAGCCCAGCAGCAAAGAGCCGCAG